ACTTTCAGCAACAGAATCTCTATGATGGCTCTAAAATCAATTTTCAACACTGACAATAAAATTTGAACTTCAAAAAATATATAAACCGTGCGGATCAATGAATACTTAGGATGAAATAGACTGTCTAGATAATTTGTTACAATATACATTATTTTTAGAGCTTGAAATACTAATTCTTTATGACCACAATGTTAAGCTAAGATGATCACTATAAAGGTTTTCAACATTTGAATTACAATTTTAAATAAGTTATGAGGTGAGGCTTTACTTATTTTGATAGAGCTGCAACCCTATCAAACAATTTCCCTATAAAAAAAGCTACAGCTAACATAAGGGCTCTGGTTGGAAAGAGACTATTTATCTTTTTTACATGGAGGTCACAATTATTCCTACTCAAAAAGTCGAATTGGATGGGTTGAGGTAAGTCATAGAGTCCAAAGTTCGAGAATTTGTTTTTTGAAATTTTGTGCCTATTCAATAATACTCTTACAACTACCCATTTTGATATTTAAAGGACAAGGTAATTGTGACCTCTATGTACAAAAGATAAAAAACAATTGCTTCTTGCTGGTTGGACCGCATTTCTACAATATACAGCCCAAAAGTATAAAGCATCCATTTTAAAGATGGATTCAAATATTTTTTAATATAATTATTATTTCTAATTTGTAAAATTTATTTTATTCTTCATATTCATGATCTCCATATTAAAGATTATATTTTCTCTACAAACTAAGATCAAATTATATTTTAAAAATATATTTAATGCCAAACATGCATTTTTACAATACGCGGGCCGGCCAAATGCTAACCGTGTCTAAAGATAAAGGAAAAAGTTTATATAGAGCCGAGGCTGTAAACAATCAAATTTGAGCCTACCTCCAAAATTTCACTAGAAGGGGTTGTTTTGATACCCAAATATCCTCAAATTGATCATCTTGACATCAAGATACATAGACATGAGAAAAAAATGGATTTCAAGTTTTGGAAATAGCGTATTTTGTAATGCATTTTGGACCGTGAATTTTCAAGATTTTCAAGTTTTCATAGATCTTTTGATCGTAAACTTTATAAATAAAGATAAAAATATATTTTAAGGCTAGCGTAAAGATTTTCGGTATTGAAACCACATTTCTCAACATTATTTGAAGGTAGGCTCTAATTTGAATGTTTAGAGGCTAGGCTCTATACAAACCACATCCAAAGATAAATAGTCTCTTTGTAGACAATCCCTATGGGTACCTAAACAAATATTAAATAAGTTAAAAAAATAAAAAATATCAAGGGGTGGGATCAAGTAGCTTTCTAGAACCAGTTCAGTTCAGGCTGGTCCTCAATCTGGATTGCCAGGTTTTGGCACATTGTTCTTTTTATTGAGTTTTGGACAGGGTATTTATATTGCACTAGAAATTTGATTAACTAGAATAGCACAGTCTTCTCACAGCGTGTCAAACACTTTATCTTTTTGGAAAACATTATGGGCTGAATGCCTTTTGCAAAATCATTAAAAAGGTAAAATATCACAATTAACATAACATTAGAGTGTTCACTTTTTTGTTTTAATTCACTGAAAGTAATTTTTCTAAAATATTTCCAAAAATACCTAAAGAGCCTTTATTATGGTTTCGAATTCTTAATTTCAGTAATATAACTTACTCTGAACAAGTAGAGGTAATAAAATACAATAATTTTAAAAGAGTTCAAATCAAGATTACAAACCTGAATTGTAGTAATGTAACCAATATATGTAATCTCATTGTGTCTAAACGAATGGAAACGACTTTGGTGATGTCATGAGGTCTTTTTTAACCCCTTTTCTTGCTGTAATTGAGTTGTAAGAGAGTTTGTATCAATGAGAGAATTGTATTTTGAAGAAAATTGTGTGTAATTGAGGTGTATAATTGTCTTTTATGCAAATTTTAAAAGAGTTGTACTTAAGAGACTGGTATCTACAACAAGTGGTATCAGAGCCGGCCCTCTTAGACCCTCATTTATATTTTGAGTCTTAAATTAAATTTGAGGTGTAGAAAAATCATAAAACATGACCACAAAGGCCATCCTAGCCAAACTCTTTAAGGAAGACCATTTTAATGACCAAAACTATCATGCATGGAGAAGGAAAGTGGGATATGTTTTGCATGATGAACAACTCATCCTACTTCTTACTCGAAGCCCATCATCCGAGCAGTGAGCAATGCATCAAAAGTTACTAGAGATGCATTTGCCACATGGGAGGCAAAGAATCCATAAACATTCCAACTACTATGGTGGATTTCTATGCAAGAGAATATGAGACATGTACGAGTGCTGAGAAAATAATGGGTAAACTTCACCGAGGTTTAGGGTTGTTCTGGATTGAAAGGAACAATAGGATGATCTGCATTGAAAAGAACAATAGGATCTTTGGGTCAAGTATTCCCCGTCGACAAATTGACCAATAAGGTTAGATCTCTGGTCACCTTCTGGGCCAAATACCATAAGGCTTTCAAACATTTCTCCTTCACAGACTTCCATCTCAATTTGCACGATCAGAAGCTCAACTTCGATGGTTGATCTCTCAGCAACCTAGGCCTTTCCAATATTGGAGGCATTTTTACAGCCCATAATGGTAGTACCCTCTTGTGCTTCTCGGTCTCCATTAGTGATACTGACTCCACAACAAGGAAAGCACTAGCTCTCTTAACAGGCCTTTGACACTTCGACCCTAACCGGGCACAGCGGATCTGGTAGTTGAGGGCGACTCCAAAAACATCATCTCTTAGGCCTCCAGTTCAACTTTTTGTCCTTGGAGGTTAAACTAGATCTTGGACAAAATTTCACACATATGTAGGATATGCGTGTCTTGGGGAGGCACATTTTCAGGGAATCTGATGCAGCTGCCAGAGGGAGCACGGTTTTTCTGATCAGCTACTGTCTTATACTCATTGTAGAGCATTTATCGGACCCCTAAGTGGGTTTTTGTATATGGCAACCGATTGTTAGTTTGCCTTTTTTTTTATTGCACTCTTTGTACCTTCTTATACTCAATACAATATTCAAAAAATAAAAAACTTCACAGAGCTTTTGGCACCCCCACCATGAGTTGCAAGTGCTTATGCCTAAGTGATTCATAGAGCTAAAGAATCTCGGTTCATGTTCAAGCCTTCAAGGCTTGTGCTACATGCATGGTTAAAAGGAATGCTGGTCTGGATCAGAAACGACTGATCCAGTTCAGGAGCCAATGGGATTGTGCTAGTTCCCTAATTATACAGGGAACCGCCCAGTTCATTGACAGAACCAACAGGTTCTATCAACGAACCGGACGGTTCTATTGGTGAACCTGGTGGTTCACCTAGTTCCCACCTATTTTTTAATTTTCTTTATTTGAAATGTTTAAAGCTTTTTTTTTTCACAATGGATTTTATCAATGGACGCCGACGGCTAACATGCCACTTTTTCTTTCACATGGCCCCCTTTTTATGGTGCCTTAAGTTATTAGGGTGGAAATCGTATGGGGTGTGTTAAGTCCTGAAGAGTTAATCCCGAGCAAATTGCTTGAGTTTTGGCTTCTCATGGCTTATGCCTCCTATACACACATTTGTGAAATCATTTGTAACGTATGATATCGCATTTAAGTTATAATTAAATGTAGAAGGGTTTAATATAATTCTATGAGAAGTCGTTTGTGGCTGAATTTTTCATAGTTGTATATTGTCTTGCATGCAGGTAATCTCATTGCGTCCAAATGAATAGAAATGACTTTGAGAATTTCATGAGGTGTTTTTTATCCTCTTTTCTTGCTGTAAATGAGTTGTAATGAGAGTTAGCTAATTGAGTTGTAATGAGAGTTAGCTGTATTTTTTAAGAAGTTTATGGAATTAGGTGTATATACTAGTCTCAAAAAATTGAAGAGTTGCATCTAGGAGACTGGTATCTACACTTACATGACAGAATTAGATAAAGAAAATGCATGATTAGAGAGAAAGGACACAATCAGATAAAAAGGTAACAATTAGGAACTAGAGAAAGAAAGGGTATGGATAGAGAGGGTAAGGAATTAGAGAGAGTTAGATAGGTTAAATACATAATTAGAGAGAGAGGAGTTGGTCAGAGAAAAGGTACTAATAGGGAGAGAGGAATTAAAGATAAAAGACATGGTTAGAGAGAGAGAGAGTTGAGAAACAACAAAATAAAAATAAAAAAAACAAGAGGGGAACTTCTTAATAACATGATGAGTAAACTTCCATAGGAAAAAGGAGCAGGTTCTTATCCCATCACTTCGAAGATGCAGTTTCCTTTTTTTAAACAATTGCTCCTATAACACTTAATGTCAACAAATAATGAAGTGGTATAGTAAACTCAAACTTTCACCTTCCGAACCTAAAAATTCCAGTTATCAAACATGCCATCAGTGTTCCCATGGCATCCCCCCCACCCCCAAATAAAACCCCATTTTCTGCTTCCCCAGTCCTAGAACCATCCAAATACAGATATATGAATCAATCGGGACAGTATAACCCTCTGAGTACAGATCTGAATGCAAAGTGCGCCTTTACAGGGCGCCGACCTCAGGCAAACACCAGGAGGCATCCCCTCAATATCCTTTTTTTTTTGTTCTGAGAATTTAAAAATCATTTTCAACCCACAAATATCCTTAGTGGTGGTTCATATCGCATGTTGAGATATCATTCGAGATAGAGCATTTTGAAGTGCTCCATATCCCTTTTTTTTTAATGATTTTTGAATTCGGTGTCAAAAGAAGAGATTGCATATGGAGAAATGAGGGGCCACAACACCTTTTCAGTTGAGGCCCCCGCCTCACCAGTTACTTAAACTTTGTTTCCAGGGAAATAAATAAAGGGCATTGGGGGAAGTATATATCTTCTATATCCAAAATATGAAGAAATGAGGGGCCCACAACACCTTTTCGGTTGAGGCCGCCCCGCCTCACCAGTTACTTAAACTTTGTTTGCAGGGAAATAAATAAAGGGCGTGGGAGGAAGTATATATCTTCCATGCTGTAGGAGAAGTATAGAAACTTTTCCCTTTAACAAATATACAAATTTAAATAAAGTAACATGCTCTATGAAAGATATTTCCAAAAGTTCAAATGATAAAAAAAATGTGATTGTACTACTTTAAAATCCTTTGCCTATGAAATAGGAGGCGAATAGGCGCCCTATCTACAAACACTGGTTTTGTCCCAGTACCATGCACAAACTCCCAAGCAGGGCCAACAAACCAAGAAATGGCAGCTCCACCAAGCAAACCACCGAGCTGCAGTTTTCATCAATTTTATCAGACAGTTTCAGTAAATTTAGCATATAAAATATTATAACATTAAGGTAATTAAAACTTACATGACCCCAGTTATCAATCCCTTTAGTTAGAGTGCCAATAACCTGTTATCCAAACCACTTCTATTATGTTTGTCAACAAGTAAAAAGTCATAAAGAAATTAGGAAAGAACTTAGTTCTTGTTTAGGTTAAAGAACTAAGGTGCATACCAGGTTCAGGACAATCACTTGGGCAATATGCTGCAAATCCTGCCACCCCGCCTCATTAAGACTCCGATGCCTCAAAATGAAAACAGTAAAAGAGCCCACCTGATGATAAGAAACCACAACTACAGGTCAATAAGCATCATATTACCAAACAAAAAAGGAAAAAAAAAAAACCAATAAGTACCCACATATTTAGCCCCAAAAGAAAAACCCATAAACATCCATACTTTTATCCATGAAAAAATAATAAATAAACAGTAAGAATCCACATTCACACACATTACTACCATACAGCTACTACTTTCATCATCATCGTCATTATCATCACCATCATTAGTAGCAGTACTATTATTACTACCATACAGCAACTCGTAGCAATGGTACTACTATTACTACTGCTGCTGTGCTGCTAGCCATAGAAACTCCTGCTTCTACTACAACCGTAACAATTAGTGAAGTCTCACTAGCACAAGAACATAATATTTATCATAATCGATCACAAAATATTCATATAATTCAATTATAAGAATTATTTACATGATTTAACCATTACTTCTTGTAGCTGTAACAGTAGTAATAACCGAAGGATGGATAGGGGATGCATGTGTTGCACTGTCAATACTGTATGTTTTTGTTTCTGTTTCTTATTTTCCTTAACTGATGATAAATTACATGAGGCGAGTTTACCAGAGAAAATATCCAAAAGTTCTTCCAAAGACAAAAACTAGAAGAGAGAGAGCATGTTTTGCTATCCATTTTCTTTTCAGTGGTAAAACCTCTAGATCAATTGAAAACCAGAAGTCATCCCTAATATAAAGAAAGAGCTTCAAGCCCCGAGAACATACTAGTCCAAATATGGCTCCTGATGCACCAACAGCAGGCGCCTTGCAGAACCGATAACTCATAGCTGAGCCTGAATTTCATGAGAGCAACAGCATATTTCTCGTCAAAAAATAATTACTTCGAGGAAGTCAAACTTCACCTTTCAAAAGAGAAACATATCTTTAGTGCTTACTTGCAATTGCAGAAGCAATGTAAACAGCAAGAAACCTCTTTGGTCCGCAAATGCCCTCAACAGCTGGGCCAATTGAATTAAGAGAGTAAGAATTGACCTGGAAGAAAGAATATTCAAGCTCAATAATTAGAAGAGCATATATAAATAACAAAAAATGCAAAGTTTGAGGTTTAAACATACCATGAGATGCCCAATATTGGCATGCAAAATTGATGAGGTAGCTAGTCTCCATAGCTGGCCTTTATCAATGAGGCTATTTATCTGTTTACACCACCTAACTGGCATAAGCCAAACGATCATTTACTCCTATCCAAATGTTATGCGCTAAAGTATTTTAATTTTCACCAACCTTAGCTCCCCACAAGATCAGCTTCCCCTTGGTCGCAATTTGAGTAACATAAGCTCTGGAAAGTGGGTAAAGAATGAAGAAGATTATTCACCTGCTTAATGTAATCCAATTCAGAATACTATAACAGACGTCTTTCTGTATTACCGACTAACTAAATCAGAAATATCAAAAGCAACTACTCTTAATACCAAGAAACTTACAAGGAAAGGAGGAAATGAAGAAATACTCTAAATACCCAGAAACTTACAAGGAAAGGAAGAAATGAAGAAATACGACAGCAACCAAAGACATTGATTTCCAAACAATGATGTTTCAAATATATAAAAAGCTTCAAGAACAACAATTTCATAACAAAACCAACATCTCTCCTTTAATTTAATTTTCATAATAGTGTATCATTTCTACTCTAGACTACGAGTTTCCTACAATGACATTTGGGATTTCCAGCATTTTAATGTCTTACAAGTTACAATCTCTTTGAGACTTGTATCCATAAATCTGTTATGTGATTGTACTATTACGTTTTCGTCTTTTCCACGAGGAGTTTGGGGCTCTAAAATTACCCTAAAAATTCCCTGAGGCTTTTAAAATCATGCCCTAGGAACTCCTCTGTTTTTTTTTGGTGGGGGGGGGGGGGGGGGTTCGAATTTTGGTGAGGGCACCCTGTCTCTGGGCAGGCGCCTAGGCGGCCAAATCCGCATTTTTGAACACTGAGCTCACCAATAATGTGAATATGAAGAGAGCCCTTTGGAACACGTAGTTGAATGCCTTTGAAAAGAATTTGTCATGCAAGACTGAATGAGAAGAAGAAACATTGTCGTCCTACATACACTGCTCAAGAATCTTGCAAAAGCATGAGTCACTAGCAGCATATAACAGGGTAGGACTTTAAACCTAACCATGAAAGTGGCAAGGGTTCCAAGCAAATAAGATCTTTGCCAATGCATCAGCCACTTTATTTTGGCTTCCTGATTTGTGCCGAATCACAAAAGAAAACTTTTGCAAATAAGAAATCCACTTTATATAGTGACTATTCCTTTTTTAAACAATCAAAAATTTCATGGCTTCATGATCAGAAAATAAGATAAACTACATCTAGATGAGATAATGCCTCCAATTTTGAAGTGCCTGCAAAATAACATAAAACTCCATAACATATGTAGAGTATCTAGCCTTAGACTAATTCAACTTTTACTACATAAAGCTATGTACATGCCTTCTTGGCCATGGACAACCCCAATAGCCATGCATGAAGAATCACACTCTACTTGAAAGATCTTCTCAAAATTTTGAAGTGTTAAAATATGAGAACTAGTCACCTTCTCTTTCGCAACCTTGGAACACTCTTCAGCCACTTTTGTCTATTCAAGCGCCCCTTTCCAGATGCAACTAGTAATAAGAGTAATAATAGTGCTGAAATTTCTAACAAACCTCCTATAAAAAGTAGCTAAACCATGGAAACCTCTCAACTCTCCCAGGATTTTTGGTGTAGGTCAGTCCCCAATCGCTTACACTTTAGCTTGATCACCTTAACCCTGATGGCTGAGACCACAAACATAGAATCAACATGTTATCTGTTACACTTTAGCTTGATCACCTTAACCCTGACGGTTGAGACCACAAACATAGAATCACCAAGTTATCTGTCATAAAGGAACACGACATATTCAAGAGCAGCTTCTTCCTGCGAACTACCTCCATACCTACCTCAGATGTATAACACCACAAATTTACCAAATAAAAGGGTGGGAGCACCTAGTTCATTATCCAAGTACATAAGACAATCCAAAACAGCATCACAAGCCACTCTTACCATCTCGAGTTTCGAAGGTTGTTTTCGTCTCATCTCTAGGGTGAATATGGATACGATAATATCCACTTCTCAAACCAATATTAGAAAAAACTTTTAACCTCAGCAACATATCAAGTATATAGAAATGGATAATAGGAAGCAATATTTGACTGTAATCTTATTGATGGCCTACTATCCAAATACATGTGCCAAGATCTTTTTTAGTGTCAATAGGGCAAGGGCCACACATGGACTTAAACTTTCTCATACAAACCCCTGATTTAACAATTTACATGTCTATGCAATTTGTCATGCTATTTTGGACTCATGCAATATTTGAGGTGGGTTAGGAAGACTACTACTACCAAGGATCATATCAATGCAGTCATAAATATCTTTCATGGGAGGTAAATTATCAGGCAAATCCTCAGACATAGAGGCAACATGGGTGATAATCGAAGTAATAGCCGAATCATCATTAGTTATCAACTCATACATGACTCCTCGCTCCTTGCTCTCCTCAAGAAACCAATTTAAAGATAGTATAACCTCTCCTTTCCCCTTCTTGTGCTTAGGATAGTTATCCTCCTGTAAAGATTGCATAGTAATACTAACCCTATACAACCAAAGAGTATAGGTATTGTATTTTCCATGGTGTAATGATCATACTACCCTGAGTGACCCATTAATATATGACATGCATCCATAGGTAATACATTCCACCACACAGACTCCTCATATATTTTCCCAACAGTAAAATTAACCAAGCAAAATGAAATAAAAGGGTTTCCTTACGTCATTGGAACCATGAAACCTGGTATGACTGCAGATGCTTTTCACAATTCAATTTCAGCTTGTCCACCACCTCTAATGATGCTGTATTACTGAAACTTTTGCAGTCAATAATGATCGTGAAACCTTGCTGTGGGTTGTATATCCAGTGTAGGTAATACTGGTTTAAAGCCATGGTTCTTCTATCACCTTCAGGGCTGATAATAACTGTCTAATCACAAGGAATTTGCCTTCATCGGGTAAAAATCAGTGGCACGATCTTCAAGTTCTTCATTTTAAATAGGCCCCGCATTGATGTCTCCTTCATTATCTTCATCCCCCTCATATAGATCTGTTCCAACCTGCCTTTTAGAGCACTTAGGGATGGATGCCAAGGTTCCCCATGCTTACACCATTTAGGCTCCTATTTAGGAATTTGAACAGGCTTATGTTGAGTAGGGCCCTTACATGCTTCAGATACATATCAAGACCAAGAACTTGAGCTAATCACATCTCTCGCTTTTTTGTTTACAACACGCCCTTTTTGAACTGAAGACAATTCAAGACCCAAGGAGCGATTTACATAGTTCTATAATTTCCTTTTAACTATTAGGGCAAACTTTTAAAAAATAAAATAAAATAAGTTGACAATTGTATTGATCATAACTGATAGTCTTCCTTAAGACACAAAATATCATGAGTTTGAATTTTCAAACCACTTACGTACCTCGCAAAGAGTTGATCATCCTTCTTGTTGATCTCATTTCTGCGCACATTAATAGATAGCAACTCATACGTGTATTGTTGCACACTCAACTCCTTATGCCGAAAATAGTTTCAAAAAAAAAAAATCCTTATGCCGGACAAGCTTCTCCATGAAATTTCTGATATAAATTTTGCACATAACCAAATGGAACAAGCTTCTCCTTCAAACACGACGTCATCTACCTCCAAGTCATAATTTTGTGATTGCCATTTCAAACTCAATGTGCCAGACATCGTTGCCACTAGCTTAGGGCATAACCCTTCAACCGGGTAGCAAGGAATACTATCTTCTCTTCTGATAATTGTTTCCACTCAAAGACGATTTCCACAAGCAATCCATTCTAAGAAGTCATGAAGTTCAAATTGACTTGAAAGTTCAGACACATCAACCTGAATTCCTTCATCCATCCCTCAAGAGCACGAACCAAACAGCCTTCTAACATGGATTTTCACCCTCTTCGTCATGAAACAGGTTCATTTCCTCCATGGAAATCGATGCCTTCACTGTCATGAATGAGGGAACCTCACTGTCAAGCTGTTCTTACTTAACTCCTCCCACCACTTTCCTGTTGTCCCTTTGTCCACCAATGTCATCCCAGAGTCCGGAAGATTCCCAATAGTACTTGAGTTTGTTAGATCCTCCTTTCATTTGTAGTAGTAATTATATTGTTATCTATTTCATTTTAGGTCATATATAGAATATAATATTGGAGAGTGCACTTAAGGAAGGACATAGCTACTTTTCTCTAATCCTACTAAGATAGAAATCATTGTCTGACGTCACCTTAATTGGAGATGGGCCTCAGGTCAACTGATGCATCAAATCAACCATGTTCATCATCATCACCATCATCATTCGAGTGATATGCCAACTATATTGGGTCGGCTACATGAAGCATGTTTCGTTGTTCCACTCTATCAAGGGCCATAGCATCAGCCAGACCATAAGTCACCATATCTCTTCTCAATACTTCCATCCATCTCTTTTACGGCACTCCCCTTTCCTTTTTAGAGCCTTCCACTTGAACCAAATCCCCCTCCTAACTAGTGTTGTTCTAAGTTGACGTTGCACATGGCCAAACCACCTAAGTATCCTCATCTTATGTGAATACATACACATTGTGAACTTTTACCCCCAAAAAAAAAGTGGATGATAAGTGAATAAAAAAAATAAATTATCCTTATCAGTTTCACTTACTTTAATCTAACTTCCAACATTTACCTATGTCTTTCTCTACCTCATCATGTTTCACTGTAACTCCCTTCCCCATCCACTTTTGGCCCATACAAAGAATAAATGAAAAGTCAAATGTACAAGATGTCACAGTCATGGTTAGCAAGTCGGTGACTAATAATATATCGGTGAACCAAAACATCGGTAATAAGTCAATTTTATTTCAAAAAATTGGAGGAAACAACCAAGTCAAAATAAGGATCGCTAAAAAATAAGGTAAGTTATTAAATCATGAATATTTTGGATTTGGCTCAAAAAACGAAGTAATAAATCGGATATGTAAAGATGACATAATATAGAATTACGATTTGCAGTTATTATATAGATACATTAAAGCCATTGAACAATAATTTTATGGCCTTAGTGTTGTTAGATTAATACTTGACAATTTATTTTCTAACTTTCAATAAATCTAACAAAAACATCCAAAATGCAATGTTGTATACACTAATAAAACAACAAATAAAAAATAAAAATATAAGACTAATCAAACTTCTCTATGCATAAAGAAAGCAACAAAATGCGTAAGCAAATTCGAATCTCACAATAAATTCCTAGCTGCCTAAATCTTTAGTAATCATTGAATCTCTCGCTTGCTCTCTATAAGGATGCTTTGAATTTAAAGAAAAAAAAGATTTTTCATCGGGTTACTCTTCTTCTAACTCTACCTATTATTTTGATATACAAAATGGTTTTTATATCTTATTTTTGAGGGAATATGTTGCTTGTATTTCTTTGCACATTTTTTAAGGGAACTTATTGGTGAAATTTTTTATGGAATTTTTTGCTAAATCAAGAATTCTTGATTTACTTCCACTGTTAATGTGTTTATCATTAAACCAAGATTCAATAATATTAAGTTAATGAAGAAATAAAGCTATAGGGAAGAAGTTTTTTTAAAAAAAGATAAAATACGGATTTACATTAGTTCTATTTAAAAAATGCGATTTTTTGAAGATCGTTTGAAAAGCTCGTAGTTCTTAACAGATTTCAAAAAATCAGAGATTTTTTCAAAAATCGTGTTTTAAATGGAAACTTGCTAACTATCGTCACAGTGTCAATTAATAACAAATTCAACTACACTTATTGCACACATACCGAAGACATTGGACATGCACATCTTATGTTCAATGACATGGAAATCTATGTAGAAGGAGACTTAATGTTATCAGTTCATATAGCCCTTGTCCATTCAATTATTGCATACTCATGGTAGGAGATCTCTGACATAAGTAATGAGACAGGAGACTCTTATAGTGATATAGTTCGAAAGCATATACTTTGACTCCAGGAACTAAATGGGTAGTTCAAGAAGAGTCAATCACTGGAGGTCCATCCACTTCTAGTCTATTGTGCATATATTTCTCGCAGTTATTTGCACATCACGGTATCTAAAGTTTTGCTAATTTACAATAATGAAAAGCCTGTGTTGTTCATGAAAAGGAAAGAAGCGTACGTTAATTTGGTAGCAGATAAAGGCAATTACAAGTTTAAGATCATGTGGCAACTCTATACTTTGTCCTCATTCCAATTTTCTATTTCTGTTTTTGATTCAAAAGAATCATTACTAATCCAAAGAATTATTCATTAAATGCACATTACGAAATGAATTTGTATCCCATGTAATGAAATGGATGCTGCTGAGACTTACAAAATATTCACCGCAAGAAGTACATTGGTCCAGATCCTTACATTTGATGATTTACCGCTAGAAGTCTCTAAACTTGAATTCACCTTACTGGACTTAGCCTCCAACTCACACTTTGTTTCTTTCCTATTATTAAAGAAGCACCAAAAAGATGAAGTTGAGGATAAGAAAACATCAGATAACGCTCCTAGGAAATCAAATCTATCTGAGAGAAGTGCCCTTTTCTTCCAATTCTTGCTGCTAATTGTGAGTTCAAGATAGTGGGGCTCCTGTAGTTGCACCAACGATAGATCAGAAAACAGAGAAGCGAATTTGCATGCAGATTGAGTTTTATTGGAATGCAAGCTTGCAAGCATTCATGCAATAGCGAGTTCTACAGGACTATAATAAATACATTTAATTATACAATAATAGAGAAGGTTAATAACCATTTATATGATACCATAATGTTAATAATGTTCATCATCCGAGACTTATCCAAACTATTTGGGGTCGGCACACGAATTATGTTTCGCCATCTCGCTCTATCAAGGGTCATACCGTCAGTCATACCATAAGTGTCTTTTCTCGTTCTCACTCTTTCCTCCATGTCCTTCTGAGCCTCCCCTTGCCCTTTTAGAACCTTCAGGTTGAATCAAATCACCCCCCTAACTGTTGTTGTTCTAGAACGATGTTGCACATGGCCACCACCTAAGTACACTTTCTTTCATCTTATTGCCTATTGGAGCTACCCCTAAGTTCCCTTGGATGTATTCGTTGTGAATTCTATCCTTCTTATCTTGCCACTCATCCACCTCAACATCCTCATCTCAGCTTTACTCATTCTATGGAGATGTTGTTTTTTGACCACCTAACATTCCCTCTCATAAAGCATGGCTGGTCTTGCGGCCGTCATATAGATGTCCAAATATCTATCGAAATTAATGTGAGCTAAAAACCCAATTTTGTGCCAATGATTAAATGTTGTATCTGTACATAAGGTAAATATTTTTTATCCATATAATGTAATTGTGTTCATATATGCTCATATATCTATTGAGAATGATAAATAAAGGAAAATCAATTGTATGAGTTTAAAAAGAAAAACAAATATCTCCAATATGAGCATTAACATAGGAAATCAGGTAGAAAGTGTGATTAACATGAAACTATGAGGCCCGCAATAAAAAGAGTTTCCTATGTCATGCATTTGATTACAAAAATCATTGCCACATCCCCTTTACCAGAAAACATGCTACCTGCACAGTTTCATGGATAGGGCATCCACATTATCACGGCCAAAGCATTGAGAATAGGGAGTTAATTTGGATAAAAAAAGAATTCTACCTGATATGGCATAACCCATTGCACAGCTCAACATATAAATACTAATTTCATTACCTTTCCAATGTCAAAAAGGATAAACACTGTTAGGCATAAATCATGATCGGAAATCTACTATTGCTCTAGTCATGTCATAGATCATTTCAACTGCATTATCAGTCCATTTAGCATTAATAGTTTACTAAGTAATGATAAACTCATTACCCAAAAGACCCATAACATATATTATTATTAGCAATAAAACAATGTAACAATTTCCTTTCCTTTAAGTGGAATGGCCATAGAAGAGACCAAATATAGAGTAAGTTACTTATCACAGGAAATTTCGCCCCAAAACCATCAACAAACATCCAGGATAAGGGTAATAATTTACACTTATGCTAATATTGACTTTTTATGTTCACAAACACTCTTTAAGAACTCAGATGCCCCAGGCCCTAAGCAGGCACATGGAGTGAAGGGATCTCTAGGTGCCCACCTAGATGGCCAGTTAGGCATGTCCCTCCTCCTCAGCTAGGCAAATCGCCAAGGGGTAGGAGGGGCCCTGGGCCATGGCAGGCTCCTCCTCTCCTCCTTAGCTAGGCACATCACCTAGGTTCCTCCTCCGCCTCCAACATCAAACACCAGGAGCACACAACATCAAACACTTGGAATGCATAAACGCAACATACATTTGGAGCTCACACACTTCTTATTCAGATACAACATGAAACACTTTGGGTGAACAAATAACATCCAACACGTGAAGTTTACAGATACAAAACGTGCACACAGCATCAAACATTTGGGGGCTTCTTTGAACAAACAATTGGAGCGCACACATTTTTCTTAACACAACATCAAGCATTTGGATAGCATCTTTAACACACAAATTTTCACAAGGCACCCTCCCAGGTGCACAAAGCAGTACCTTCTGAATTCTTAAACACTGTTCACAAAAAATTCAACAAACAAATGGCCGCCAACCTTTCGCATTAGCCGTTTGGGGTTAGATTTGGAATCATGTCTGAGAATCCCAATAAATTTGCCTAAATGAATGTATGATGTTCTCAAACAAGCTGATGCATGACCACGTGGAGGCAAATGATTATGCACCTCACTTGTACTTCTAGTATTTCTTAATACCAGGCATCTTTTAATATGCAATTGTGCACTTTGAGTGAACACCTTTGACTACATTGGTTAAATCCTTAAATTTGGAATTCAACAAAAATGGTGTTATTAGTATTTTTAATTCCAATGGTGTTATCAGTATTTGTAATTCAAAACATTTCTTCATAAATTAATTCAAGTGACATCTAGGTAATTGCACAGTTTACTTTGATACATTTTGTCTTGTTGGGCATTCTTTTAGAAATATATATAGCTCTTACACTTGCAATGAATTCTAATCATGTTTCATTTGTAGCTCTAGTGATTCATATTTAAATAAAAAGTGTCAAGGTCGAACGAAATGACATTGTTCATCATGAGGATGATGAATAAGATGAGAAATACTTCCAGTTATATGATACTCATAAATGGTGTTCTGCTCCGAGAAAACACATGTTGGAGCTGTATTTCATGGTGGCAAATGTTGAGGTTAGAAGAATGAGAATCGTGCATATTATCATTGTAAGTACTACTAACATATGTGAATTACATAGTTATGGTGCCATACCCAAGGTTAGCAAAAGTTGGCTCAGCTCCGGGCAACACATGGTTCCCTTGCTTGGTTCTGTTTAGGCAGGCATCTAGAGATCCCAGAAGGGGCAGCCCTCAGTGCCTATCATTGTGTTTGATGAACTTGTTTATCCCCAACTTTGCAGAATCATTTGATCATGCAGACGTAAAATTGAAAGAAATATACAGATATGGTAACAGAACTCAAAAGTCAAATTCCTTCCTTTTATAAGTAATACATCATTTCCTCCTTCATTTTTGTCTTTTTTTCTAAATGGTGGTGGAATGAGATCTGTGATCAGTGTCGACTAGGAAATCATAGTTTCAGAAAAGAATTTGCATAAATCCAATGCCACATATTCAAACAACATTTTTTCTATAGCAGCGACCTCCAGTCATCAAGCCTAAATCTTTAGCACAAACCCTCAATTCATTGAAGTCAAAAGGCATCATCATCTTAGGTCAGTTATCTCTCAATAAGTGGGAACCACCCCAAAACTCCCTGAACTGCGATCACGCCATACAGAACTATTTTCAGTGCTTTAGATTCGGTGAACAGTTATTTTCTCTTTTTGTGCCAAGATTTTGGAAACCCATATTAAAAACCACGCTCATTCTCACAGAAAACAACACATGATAATCAATACTAGTTTTCCCATCCTTATCCTCTGGTTCGTAAATGTTCTCTCAATCCAAAAATGTCCATAAACTCTAAGAAGAAAACAAATACAAGTCTATTTCCTACAAAATATGAATAAGTAGTACAGGTTTTCTTGAAAGAAAAACGGTGCCAATGGAAGAAAAAAAGAAATAGCAGGGTAAGAAGAATACTCGTTCCTCTTATGATTTTCCACGGAACAATGGATTAGCACGTACAACATGTATTTTTAAATCAAGAAAACGCAGAAGAAGAGAAACTCACTGAATAAATGTGGGTTCTCTGAATTCGGACAATGTTTATTCCGGTGGCGATGCTCATTGAATACTTGGGTCTGTGTTTCCCGAACCAGGAAGAATAATGGGGAGGAAGGGCAGCCATGACCCAAGTCTTTCTCCGTCCTTTTGCTAAGAGTCTTTTCCTTGTGGGAACTCGAGTCCCTGAAATATTGAAGCGTCAAAAAAAAACAGATAAAACAATGAAATGTTTCCAAGGAATACAAACTGACCCTTACTATCGTTCATTACATTTAAAATTACGTGGTTGTGAGTGCGTCGTTATTTAGACTCAAAGTTAAAAAATAAAATAAATAAATAAATAATCCTTGAATTTCATGCACACCCCACCTCAAGCCATTAAAGTTGACCACAATTGTTACCGGTGATTGTAAAATCAAATCGGAACGGTTAATCGGACATAGGTCGGAAGCGGTTTAACCGGCCTAACCGGTCAACTAGCCGATTCAACTTACTAACCAGGCAAGTTCCATGTGGTTAAAACATTATTGAAAAAAATACAAAAAAATCTACTAAAATATAAAAAACATATAAAGGATGATTAAAAACAAAACACATTCAAATAAAGTTGAAAATTAATGAAAAAATTGGATTTCAAATGATCGATTTGTGTTTAGGGGTATTTTTAAAATTTTCAAAAAAGATGAAAAAATATAAAAGTAAATATTGATGACCAAAATAATTTCTAATCTTTACCATAATGTAAAGAATATTAAAAATGTATTACAAACCAAATTCTTTATTTTTTAAATTTTATTTACAATTTTTTGAAATTTTTTTTTAACTATCAGCAAATCACTAAAACTGAAACCGAAACCGACCAAGTTCGACTCCGATCTAACTTGGCGGTTACCAGTTATATTGCCCGATTTTTCCAACATGGGTTGTGACCTTTTGTCTCATAGTCTATTGTTCCTTTCGAGTTAAGAAGGGTCGACAGGTTATCTCGTTTTTCTTCTTTTCTATTTTTTCCAAAATGCCCCTGCTTTGGTCTGTGGACTTTAATTCTTGACTACGGATGTCAAAGCCCCAGAAGCCAATGCTTTTAAGACGCGATTTTGTATCATGAAAATTTGAACTCAATAGTTTTGTTACCACTACAGACCATGCTCAGGCTTTCATGACTTGACTTTAGATACTTTAGACATTAATTATCCAAAGTTGAAACTTTTAACTTGACTTCAAAACTTGGAAATCATAAATTAATAATTTCTTTATCACTTCCCAATTGGGAACTTCAAGATCCGAACTCGTGGTATTTTGAAAAAAAAATAAAAAAATAAAAAAAGCTTAGGTATATGAATGTAAAATACAACTTTGGGAGGGCATATCTATAATAATGGATAGTTAGGTGGAATTAGCCTAAATTTTTCTTATTTCAATTACTTTACAAATTATTCTAAGATAAAATTTGGGGTGTCTCCTCTTCTCATAGGGCGCACCTGATTGAAAATAAGAAATATTTCTTGCATCAAAAAATGACAAAAATATTTCTAAAACCTCTAGGGTATTAGATTTTTTAAGTTTATTATAAGGTTTTTAGGAAGCATTTGAGATTGGAAACATTTCAGATGTTAAAGATTGAAAATTGAGAAAAAAGATTAGTTAAGAATCTTCATATTTGAAATTTTATTTGTTATTTCAATGTCTTTTACAGGTTCTTCTAGAAGTGGTGATCTGGGTTGGAAGTATACTTATAACCCAAATCCAAATAATAAAAATGGTATAAAATGTACTTCTTGAAAAAAAGATACTAATGGGGTATATATTGGATAAAAAAAAACACATTGTCGGTACTAAAGGAGATGTTGCTCCTTGTAAAAATATTCTTGAAGCTATTAGGAAATAGATTAAACAATATTTGAATTCAGTAAAGGACAAAAATGAACAAAAGGAGCCTTGTTATTTATATAGGTCTTCTTATGGCTCTTCTAAAAGTGGTGATCAATGTTGGAAGTATGGTTATAAATCAAATCCAAATGATAAAAATTATATAAGGTGTAATTTTTGTAAAAAATATACCAATAGAAGTATTAACCGTTTCAAGAAACACATTGTTGGTATTAAAGGGAATGTTACTTATTGTAAAAAGGTTCCAGATGCTATTAGGGATGATATTAGACAATATTTGAATTTAGTAAAACTAGAAAATGAAGAAAATTAGCCTTGTTATAGGGCAATGTCTTCTCCAGGTTCTTCGACGAGGAATGATTGAATGGACTCTCTCCCCTGCAACCCCTTACCCATTCAACCTTAGACGTGGTGATCCACGTTGGAAGTATGATTATAATCCAAATCCAAATGACAAAAATTGTATAAGGTATAATAATTGTGAAAAAGATGGGCATTTACCAGTTCAAGAAACACATTCCTGGTATCGGGGGGATGTTCTTCCTTGTGAAAATGTTCTTAAAGCAACCAGGGAGGAGATTAAGCAATATTTAAGTTCAGGTAAACACAAAAATAAGGAAATGATTAAGAGGCATCAAGTAGAGTAGCCAACACTGCTATGGCCTCTAGATCATCTGCACAGAGCAAGATGGGAGTAGAAGATGAGGAGGAAGAGGCAGATTCAGAAGAAATAAAGGAGGATGAGCATTATGTTGAAGAGGATGATGACTCTAGTAATAATGGACTTGACTCCTATGGATATGATGAGGCTTACCCGACATTTTTTTATGATGACTGATGAACTTTAACTCTTGAGTCTTTGAGTGTATATATATATTTTTTTTCTTATTTCCTAGTTACTACTCTTATGTGTACACTAAGCTTGTATGTTTGTATCAATGTGTATAACTACGAATTATAGAATGGTATGGACTATTGAGCATGGAGTATAGCCTATGAAGTAAGGATTATGGATTGTGTCTGTATTTCTAGTTCACTATTACATTTTATTTTTAGTAATGCTAGTAGTCTATTACAAAAGTGCAATAGTTTGGAATGTTAGATTATTGGATTTTAAAATTTTTATTATTTTATAATGTATCACTCATATTCAACTGACCATTTTCTTCAACTTAAGCCACCCAAAAATCTTGGCACCTGACTATGTGGCTACCTAGGCACTGGGAGGTCAGGACCCCCATTACGGCTTAGGCACCGCTCGACGTTTTTTGGAACACTAGTTGTGTGTAGGCAAACCATTGTTCTGAGCACTATACATTCTGATCAACCCCGTTGTGTGTACCCAAATTCTGACCATCAGCCACATCCACAACTAAGACATTTTTGTCATTTCCTCTGCGACCATTTCCTCCACCACCATCTCCATTTCCATGCCCTCTATCACTAGCCCCATTTCCATGGCCTCCACCATTTCCACGATAATACCCATAGTTAACAGTTCTTCTCCCCCTACAAAACCGACGCCGATTCCTCCTCTCTCCCATGCGCAAAAACCTTTTATGATAGCTTACCCCTACAAGATATTCCAAAATCATTACAGTGAATAAATCCCTGAGTTTTATAGTGTAGCCTTAGCATTCTCATTTCGGGACCCATGGGCAACTTTCATGGTAGGGCAAACTATAAACTCGATAGTTTAGAAGGAAGGGAAATGCTAGTTCCCTCTCTCTCACCCCTCTCACTCACAACAAGTGACAAATAAGGCAAGGGAGAAAAAGAGTGGGAATTTGCCCATTTAAACAATCTTTTTTTGCCATCATTGTTTCTCTCTTATATCACCTTTTCTCTAGGATTACCTGTGGCTTTCCTAGACATGATTTTCTCTAAAGCTCCACATGAATCTAGTGATTTTCTTTTTCAAATCGGATAATTTTAATGATATTACTATAGTATTCTATATTATAAGATTATTTATCCTTGGTATAAATTTCGAAAAGTATTTTTGGCCATGAATATTTATTTTTATACCTTCCCATCTTTTTTTGAAAAAAAATTTAAATACCCTGGGTCACAAACTCATTTTTTAAAATCTATTTTTGCTACTTTTTCAACTACAATTAGTTGTGTTTTGTAAAATTTTACTGAATATATTTTCTTATATTTTTGAGGATTTTTTATTTTTAATTACTTTTCAGGTTCTATATTACTCGGGCCGAGTTACATGGACTCAGGTGAATACTCGACTGTGACATTTACCGAGTAGTTAGCCCGAGTCAGCCTTTCGAACATTAGGTTCTCGCGTGACCTAAACCACGTTTGTTACCTTTTGGAATGAAAAAATTTTGAAAAAAGAAAATAAAAGAAAAAACACTTTCTTACATTTCTATGAGATCAATGGAGTATTTCAAAGTTTCAAAAAATTGATCAAAACATCATCTTTTTTGTCTAAATGTTATTATGCAGATTTTTTAAGCCTATTGGATGGTTTTTAGGAAGCATTTGAGATTGAAAAGCATCTTAGAGATTAAAGATTGAAGATCGAGCAAAACAACAAGTTAAGAATCTTCATATTTAGGATTTTATTTGTTATTTCAATGTCTTCTCCAACTTCTTTTAGAAGTGGTGATCTAAATCCGTAGTATGATTATAAAACAAATCTAAATGACAAAAATTATATAAAATGTAATTATGGCGAAAAAGATACTAATGGGGGTATAAACTGGTTCAAAAAATACCTTGCCAATATTTTAGGGGATGTGCTCCTTGCAAAAATGTTTGCAAAACTATCGAGGAGGAGATTAAGTAATATTTGAGTTAGGTAAAATAAAAAAGAAGAAAATAAGCCTTGTCATTTAGATGAGTCTTCCTTTGGCTCTTCTAAAAGCGATGACCCAAGTTAGAAGTATGGTTGTAACTCGAATCAAAATGATAAAAATTGTATAAGGTGTAATTTTGTAAAAAAAACTAATATGAGTATTAATCAATTCAAAAAACATATTGTTGGTATTAAAGGGAATGTTATCTCTTGCAAAAAGGTTCTTAAAGCTATTAGGGATAAGAATAGACAATACTTGAATTTGGTAAAACCAAAAAAGGAAGAAAGGGAACCTTGTTATATAGAAATGTATTATCTAAGTTCTTCTAGAAGCGGTGATCCGAGTTAGAAGTACGGTCATTACCCGAACCCGAATTAACAAATTACATAAGGTGTAATTATTGTGGAAAGATACTAAAGCGGGTGTTTACCAACTTAAGAAAAACCTTGTTGGTATTACGGGTATATTGTTCCTTGTAAAAGTGTTCCTAAAGCTACCATGGAGGAGATTAAACAAGATTTGAGTTCAGTAAAACATAAAAA